TTGCCAAATTTGAACTTGGTTGCCTTCGCGGCTTCGCCTCAGCGTGTTGTTATTTTCCTATGCCTATGGCTATGTTGTAAACACTGAAATACATTATCATTGTATTGACAAACATGATGGATTGATCGAATGAGCATTATTCAATATATTAAATACTTTCAAAATGCATTTATAATATATAAAAGATTATTAAAATATTGTTAAAGTTGTTTAGCATCCACATTTTGTCGTTATCGGAAAATGTATGGCTTATAAGTTATCATACATTGTCATTGACATTACTCATTAGTGAATGCGCGTATATGAAACTGTTTTACGTGCATTATTTCAATATTAGTTTGTAAATCTCTAAATGGTAAAACTTGCCAATACTGCAATAATACGATTCAAAAAAGACAAAAAAGCTTTTAGTTTTGCGGAGTTACATTCCCAATTCTCAAACGTAGGCAAAGCCAAAGGCACTAATAAGATCAAAGTATCACGAAATTCTTTGAATAAACCACATCGCATATATGGGGGGCGAATATCCTAAGGGGGGGGCGATATTCCTAGGGTATCTGCCCCCTGGGGCGATATTCCTAGGAATATCGTCCCCCTTTTGAGAGGGGGGCGAATCTCCTGGGGGGGCGAAATTCCTGTGACACCGGCAACGAGTCCGCATTTAGCAAGATTTAGGTCCTTGCTACTTCTTGTTGTTCTTTGGCTAATACTATTTCTAGTAACAAACATACTGCTTAGATACTGAGGAGCCTTCCCATTACGGCATTTGTGTATCATAGCAATATCGTGGAGAAGCAGTTTGTCATTTACGCTAAGCAATCCTAATGAGTTGCGGCCTTCAGTGATGTGGTCGTAGTTCCTGAGACCTAAAACAATTCTACAAGCAAAGTTTTGAACAAGCTGGAGCTTTGCTCCATATTTGCTGAATATAAACGCATTAATAACTAAAATCGTCTATCTAATAAATATTTAATGCGGTTTATTCGAGTTAACTTGCAGATGCAGTTTCCAGATAGTTTTATAATGTGATGTGATCATTATAAGTTAGGTTAGAATCAACACACCCAAGTCTTTAAAGACTGGTGACGGCTTGATTTGATTTCTTTGTCCAGCAAATACACAGGTGGTATCCGACAAAGATCGGGTGAACTGGTGGACTCCTACTACGAGTAATTTGGTTTTATCAGGATTTATTAGCAGTGAGATGGTTGATGCAACACCATAACACCATCTTGAGACGGCCAAGAGATCTTAGTTTAAGACAGATATAGTGTCGTTGGGTTCAGTTGGGGGACGTGCAAGGAGACCTTTGGTGTCGTCTACATATCCATACTTTCGCATTGCTTAGAAACTGATAGAAGTTCATTAACATATACAATGAACAAGACAGGGCTGAGTATGGATCCTTGGGGTACGCCAACTGTCATGGACGGAATCAGATAACTTAATTACCGCTTGAACCAAGTCAGAGCAGACAGAGACACGCCTAACTGGTGTAACTTTGCTAACAATAGGTCATGCCCATAGATATCTTATATATATATACACTAGATAGTGCATCTAATTATTCTGCAATTGAAAAATTGAAGCCGTGATTGCAGACTCAGGGTATTCCCATGAAATGAGAAGACTCGTATGTTTTCCAGGGCCGCCCAGAGGGGGGGGGGGCAAATTGCCCCGGGCCCCGAGTTGCTGGGGGCCCCTGAAAAATTTTTGTAGGGCCCCAGCCTTTTTTGTGTGTTAAATATTTCCGCGCAAAGGACAAGATATCTGTTTTCTTGGGCTAAGTCCCGAATTTTGGCATAAAAAAATGAGACAAACGGTCCCTCGAAAGCATTTGCAACGTACTCGTCCGGCAAAATTTTGTACTCCGGAAAAAATTTTTTTACCCCTAAAATGGTACACTGGCCGAAATTTTTTTTTTGGGTGGGGGGGGGAGGTTGTTATCCGGAAACAATTTTTTGCGGGAAAATTTTTTTAGATAGGGGCCCCTAAAAAAAAATTTGCCCCGGGCCCCCGCCAACCTCTGGGCGGCCCTGATGTTTTCTATTTCTTAAACAGGGAACTTAAACATTAAGTTAAACCTATTCCAAATACATTTTCAAACTATTCAAATGATGAAAGTTATTGTTGTTTTTTATTTTTTAAGCGTTTATTAGCGAGTGGGAAACTTCAACATGGCCGCCATCTATATTCAAATGGGGGTAACCGCTGGAATATTCTTGGCTTCAATTTTACTAAAAGAGATGCGCTATCTAGTGTATATAAGATATCTATGGTCATGCCTGATACTGTCGAAGACTTTAGACATGTCTAATAAAATTACTAAGGAGATCTTTTTCAATAGCTTCTCCGTGCAGTAAAGAAGGGCTGATTCTGTTGAGTGTAGTTTTCTGTTGAGTGTAGTTTTCTTTGAGTGTAGTTTTCTTTGAGTGTAGTTTTTTATTGAGTGTAGTTTTCTGGTTAATATTCTTTAGCCATAATACAGTATACCCATGTATTGACTCTGCATGACTAACTTCTTCCACTCTCTGTCGCGGCATGTCATTCCTAACTTATTGCTGCTGCTGCTGCCACCGTTTGTTTCTTTCTAACTTCTATCTCGGCTTCTTTGACATCTGGTTTAAAATCTTCTTGTGGCCATTCCCCCTTAGGTCTGTGTAGAAACTCTGGTGCTTCATTCCATCTTCCCGGCCGATAATTCCGCGAGCGTACGTTATCCCACGAGAAACGTTGACTGCAACATGCTCACTGGGGATATATCTCCATTGGCAGGGTTGTACATATATATAAACTGCATTCGCATATAAACTGCATTCGCATATAAACTACATTCGCATATAAACTGCATTCGCATATATATAAACTGCATTCGCGGGGGGAGGGGGAGATTCTTGTCGGGCAGATTCTACTTAAAAATCGGGCAATTTGCTGGCCTGCCCGCCTCCGTATAATAACTAGCTATAAGTCAACTGAGTCAGTTAACTGTGTAATATCTTTTGGGAAAAAATTCAAAACAGGAAGACTTTAAAGAAAACAGATCCTGAATGAAATTTATTCAATTTCTGATGAAGGATAGAAGTAGCTACGAATTCCAAATATATTACCACAAACACGTTTTTTATTATGCACCTGCATGATCATGTTATTTCCTGCATTCTGGTAGCAATTTTAACAAGAAATCAGTAATGATAAACAGCTAGTGACACAATGACTATAATTTCATAGTCTTCCTGCATTCTGGGAGCAGTTTTATGAAAAAATCAATCTCATAAACTGTGACACAATATGACTCATAATTTCAGAGTGTGTCTCACAATTGTACTACAAGTATTCAATGATAAGAATTCAAGTGCTCTTGCTCCAGAGTTTCTAACTTAATAGGAAATCAAACATTCTCTGGGGGAACATGCCCCGATGACTCGACTCGGTAAATCTAAAATCCTATTGTTACGGGTCTGACCTTGTATGCTTGTATTTCAACACGTCATTTCTGTTGCTCCACACGTCACCGAGCACTTTCTCCTCTGTTGTTCCTTGTGGAACCTTGATTTCTTCCAATTCTTGCGTTGCTTTGAAGGCACAGTTTGCAAGTAAAAGTTCCTCAACTTCTTTAATTAACAGTATTGATCGAATCTAATATGTCGTAAATCTGGACTTTCGAACCAATAATCGTTGAGGCAATGTATGACCTTGCATGGTATAGGGAGGAAGAGTTGCAATTTTTCGCTTTCGGGCATAACAACTGAGTGGTGGTGGGCAGTGTAATGACAGTTAACAATTTCTAAGTGGAGATGAACGTGGGAAAGTAGCCTCCTCCGCAGCCAGAAATTTTTTTTTCAAAACCCATTCGCAGGCTAGAACCCATAGAGAGGCCTGCGGAGGAGGCTAGTGGGAAAGTGACGTTTGGGTTCGCAAACTATATAGATAATGAGCTGCTATTCCAGCAATATCGTTAAGCATGCGGTATTTCACCTGCATTCACACTACCCCGGATCGAAATAATGCCGGCAGAACTTACGTGTGTCCACACTATATGCCGTAACAAATTAAATTATTTCAAATAGAGCAAAGAAATTTAAACGAAAAGCATTCGAATCTACTGTTTTGAGACCTGAGATGATTGTTTGCACGCGGTACAAAAAAGTAACGGTTTCTGCGCCGTTTTCAAACCGCTCTGGCGTAATTGTGACCCTCCCTGAACATGAGCTGAAAAAAATTTGGCCCTTCAAGAAGGGTGCCTAAAAAGCACAGCCCTCCTCCTAAGTTTACCGGCCCTTCCTAAATTAACCTTCAATAATTAATGACCGCTTCCTTACCTTGGAGACTTTAGAATTGCATGAGAGACATGAGCAAGGCATCTTTTAAAACCATGGACTAGTGGGGTATTTGCCCCACTGGGCCCCTTCCTCTGCCCCACCACTGAAGAAAAAAAGGGCTTATTGCCCCAAAGCAAGGGCCCTAGTAGGACATGTATCGAGTTATTCGAGTGTAATAAATGAGTATAACACTGATGACAAGTTTAAAATCCATATAAATTTTTTTATCCTTTTCTGAAATCATAAAATCAGGTAGAACTTTATGTTGTATGACAACCTGTGTTACCTGTCAGGAATTAATTTGGGTAAACTGTGGCGCGCCTCGCGCATGCAGGGCTCTCAGTTTTAAGGACATTTCCTTAAATTGAGGAAATTTGACCTTTTTGTCATTTTTTAAGGAGACGAAATAGAAGAATTAAGGAATTTCTAATTATCTAATTTTTAAAAATATTGAAATTATATTTAAAATTTCAGTCAATTTAGCAGTATTTATTCAAAAATTATTTTTAAAAACGCTGGAAATGCAGTCTTAAGCATTCAGTATTGCAAATTTTTTTCGAAGAAAGATATTCCTTAACAATGTGATATTCGTTAACCCAAAAATATGAAATTTAAGGAAATTTTACTAAATCTGAGGAATTTTTTACCGAGAATCTAAGAAAGCTAAAATTTAAATTTATAATGAAGAGATCAATGAAATCCGGTCATCAAAAGCGAACCGAAAGCAAGAGAAAGGCGCTACAACAGTCAGCAAATGCTCCAGGGCAACGATCTTTGTTTGAAATGTTCAGATCAACAACAACAAATAGCAGTACTACAACTAATACCGAAAGGGAATGCATCGGGACAGCTGAGGAAAGATCAAATGAAATCATTGATTTTTCAGGTGAGAAATCACAACATGTTGAACTTCCTGATCCTGTACCTGTTATGGTCGTTGTTGAAAGCGATACTGAAGCAAAGGAAACTACGAACACTTGTGGAAATATTGCAACTGTATCAACGTCAAAGTCTGATTCTAAAAATTCCAACGACTGGTATAGGGGGATGAAGCTAGATGTCGATTGGTTGTTAGATGCTGCGAAGTGCTTAGTGTTGAAGAAAGAAATAAAAGATAAAAGAAAGAGACCAACTGTTACATGCTTATTATGTAACAAGTACGAATTTCAGGTACGAAAGATGACCTCAAATTGTCAGTTACCAATAGCAAACGGTGTACGTGTTGATGGAAAGGACAGACTTAAACATGTTGTTGATCACTTACTTTCTCCAGCACATGAGGAAGCCGAACGATTGAATGATTGCGACAAAACTTGGTGCGATAAGTCCGATAAGCATCCTTGGGTAAGAGTTTTTAAAAAGTGGAATGACGAGAAATTACAGGGCCTGGTTCGTATTGCAATCGATGCCTACAATGACTCGCAGGTTGAAACCTTAAGTGCTCGAAGCTGGCCCTCAAGATCCCTTGCAGTAGAGCACAGTAATCATGTGTTGCACCACTTTGAGTCACAGGGAGGGGATGCTGACTTTGTACCTTTTGATCCACCAGCATCCTGTTATCACTATAGAGATCCAATGCTTTATGCTGAAATAAGAAACATCATTGCAAAACAAGAAATGAAAAAAGTTGCACAATTGTTAAAAGACTGCTTGTGTTACTCGGTGCAAATTGATGGAAGTGCTGACAAGCAGCAAGTTGATTCCAAGTTTATAACTGCTCGGTATGTGCCATGTGATGAAGTCAGTGTTAAAACAGTGTTTCTTGGTATTGCAAGTAGTGATTTAGGAGGAGCTGAGGGGCTGTTAGATTCTTTCACAACATGTATTGAAAACATTGGCATAAACACTGATAAATTGGTTGGTGTTACCACTGATGGAGAAAATGCAAATACTGGAAAAAATGCTGGTTTATGGAAGCTTCTGCAAGATTATATCGGAAGAGATATTCTGACAATATGGTGTGTCTGCCATCGATCTGATTTGGCACTTGAATCGGTTCAGGCTGAGGTTCCTGAGCTCACGATATGGATGTCCAATGTTCTTGCTGTTGCAACATTCTTTCGAACATCTCCTCGCAGGACAAAACTACTTCATAAGGTTTGCTTTATGTTATTTTTTTGTGCATTTAATTAATATACACTATTTTCCAAATCTTCTTTTTACTGCATGGTTGATTTTGTACGTTGATTATTGATACTGTTTTCTATCATAGTATTTAAATCTGCTCTTTGTTCCATTCAATTTTCTGAATAGGTT